TATTATTAGAACATTTCTAGATATTAAGGTTATATCACCCAGCTGGAGATGTAGCTCAGTGGTAGTGCTTGCCTAATATGCATGAGACCCTGAGTTTGATTTGATCCTGAGAAAGAAGGCTTGAGGGGAGGGTGGCTATCATACTTCCCTCACTGAAACAGTTTGCTTAGTGGCACTGTGAGCAGGTGGTATCAACCTCTTCCCCAGAACTGCAAGCCTTGGAATGTGGTTCATTCTATGTTTTGGGGCAGGAAAAGACAAGACTATTTGAATATGTTTACAAATTCACTGTTAGTGACTAAAATACCTAACCAGAACAACTCAGAGGAAGAAAAGTGTTTTGGGCTTACAGTTTCCAAGGTCTCAGTCCATGGTCACCAACTCCATTGCTCTGGGCCTGATCTGAGGTAGATCATAATGGCCGAAGGGCATGGCAGCTGAGAGCTGTTCAGCTCAAGACAGCCAGAGAGCAAAGAGGGAGTGGGAGCGGTTAGGGTCAAAATATATAATGCAAGGCAGACCCCACCTGCCTACAGTTAGAACCCAGTAACCCATTCAAATAATTAATCCATCAAATGGAATAATTCACTGAATAAGATATAAATCTCATATTCTAATCACTTCACCTCCTAAATTAACACAGGAGCTTTTGGGAGACACCGCATATCCAAACCATAACAATCATTAATTCAGTGTAAAAACAAAAACCTATGAATTTCTTTTTTTATATATTTATTTTTTAGTTGTAGTTGGACACAACACCTTTATTTTATTTATTTATTTTTATGTGGTGCTGGGGATCAAACCCAGGGCCTCTCACGTGCTAGATGAGCACTCTACCACTGAGCCAGAGCTCCAGCCTATGAATTTCTAATTGAAAGCCTATGAATTTCAGTTAGAACAAATTACATGCGCTGGATTTAGAGAACTCAGACCGGAATTCCAACAATGTTTACAGAAGCTCCTAACTGCTGGTTTATCCAGAACCTGGATAGTGTAGTGAGGTTTGGTGTATGCCTCAATCCCATTATTATAAATTATGCAATTAAAAATGAGCTGAGAGGGGCTGGGATTGTGGCTTGTGGTAGAGCACTCCCCTGGCATCCTCCCTAGAGGGGGGAGTGCCTTCTACCCTGGGTGCCCTGGTGTCCGAGCTCCCACACACACACACACCCAGGTTAGAGGGGCCTCCCCCCTACAGGGGGGAGCGCCCTCTTCCCTGGGTGCCTTGGGAGCTCCCCCCCCACATCCAGGTTAGAGGGGCCTCCCTCCTAGAGGGGGAAGTGCCTGCTACCCTGTGAGCCATGGTATCCGAGCTCCCCCCACACACACCCAGGTTAGAGGGGCCTCCCCCCTACAGGGGGGAGCGCCCTCTTCCCTGGGTGCCTGGGAGCTCCCCCCCCACATCCAGGTTAGAGGGGCCTCCCTCCTAGAGGGGGAAGTGCCTGCTACCCTGTGAGCCATGGTATCCGAGCTCCCCCCACACACACCCAGGTTAGAGGGGCCTCCCTCCTAGAGGGGGGAGTGCCGGCTACCCTGGATGCCCAGGTATCCAAGCTCTGCCCCCCAACACCCAGGTTAGAGGGGCCTCCCCGCTAGAAAGGGGAGTGCCTGCTACCCTGGATGCCTTGGTATCTGAGCTCCCCTGCCAGAATGCCCAGGTTAGAGGGGCCTCCCCAATAGAGGGGGGAGTCCCGCTATCCTGGGTGCTGTGGTATCTGAGGTGCCCCCCCAGAACACCCAGGTTAGAGGGCCTCCCCCCTAGAGGGGGCAGTGCCCACTACTCTGGGTGCCATGGTATCTGAGTCCCCCCCCAGGTTAGAAGGGCCTTCCCCCTAGAGGGGGGAGTGCCCGCTACCCTGGGTGCCTTGGTATCTGAGCTTCCCCCCACCCCCGACACCCAGGTTAGAGGGGGACCCCCCCCTAGATGGGGGGGTGCCCTCTATCTTGGGTGCTCTGGGAGCTCTGCAGGAGGAGAGATGGTGTAGGCACCCCTGCCTCCCAGAGCTTGACTCCTGGGAGACCCCATCACACCATGTCCTCAGAGGCCCACCCACTCCCAGATCCTTGGCTCCCACAAGTTGTTTCTTAATGCCTGCTTAGGGGGCTGAAGCTTCTACTTTGGGGTCTGCCACAGGACCAGCATGGGCTTCATGAAAGAAGGTAGGTTCATAAGAAATTACTAGGGAGTTTTAAATTAAAGAGACAGACTCTCATTACCTTTCACACCAGCTCCTAGACAGCTTCTCCTAGCTCCCACCTCTAAGCCACCTAACGTTTACAGAAGAGACTAGCGAGAGAGGGAGAGCACGCCAGGGAGTGAGCTTTTATTGGGGAACTAAAAATTCCAGGGAAAATCCCATCCAATGAAGGTTAAGGGGGGCAGCATCCCAAGGTCAGGGCCGGCAATTGGGTCTTCAGATCAGTGGCCAGGCACGCCTCTGCACGGACAAGCCCTGGGACCTGGGAAAAGGTGGGGAATGCTTTTAACACAGCTGTGTTTAAGCCCCTCTCACCCAGCCAGGGAGGTAACTCAAATCACGTGCCAGGATGGCCTCCCACACTGGGGTACACAAGAGCCTCCCCATCAGGTCCTGGAGGAGATTCTAGTTGTTCCAGCCCAGCCCCTGGGCTTGTCCCTTCCCCTTGCTGGGCTGCATCTTGACCCTTGGGTTGACTCACTATTCTTAAAGTCTTTGGCCTCAGGGAACCCTGGAGGAGGAGAGAGAACTTCAGAGAGAGAAAAGCCCTGGGCCCAGCACACCCATTCCCCACCCCAGTTCCCCCGACTCCTGCCACACCTTGCTTTCGGGGGACCTCCAGGGAGACCCCAGTGCCCAGAGCATCATTCCCATAACCAAAACCTGCAGAAGACAGATTGGAGGGTGGAGTCAGGGATGGCATGGGGAGTCAGGTGACCAACTTTTAGTGATGGGAAAGGTAGGCAGATTAACTCAGAACTCAGAGGCCACTTGGAGAGGGCTCATCTCAGCTACTCCACTGCCTGGTCTCTCCCACCGTCCTCGTTCAGGAACAAGAGTGCAACTTCAAATTCTGGCTGCTGCCTCTGGAAACCTCTGACTTCCCTCTGGGCAGCTTCTAAAGCTGCTCCTTCTTCCGCCTGGCTTCAGACAGACCCTCACCTGACACAGGATCACTCACAGTTCCAGCCACCATTATGGCACAGCAGGTAGCAAATATGTGAAGGAAAATAAGAAAAGCAGCAGAGACGAGAGAGGAGTAGAAGGGGGTTCGCCATAAGGGAGAAGCCAGCTCCACCTGAGGGTCGGGCCAGGAGGGCTCACCAACTTCCTGCAGCTGGAGGTCACCACCACCAAAGCCTGCGGGAGAGGAAGCTAAGGGTCAGGGATGGCCCAGCCTCTGCTCCCCCTCTTCCTGGGCCAACAGAAGGCAGGGGAGGTGGGGAGAAGGTGGAAGTGTGAGTGGGGAATCGAGGCAGGAGTGCATTGAAGAGCCTCCTCACCCTGTTCTGCTCCTGGTCCAGAGCCACTGGGAGGCTGGTAGCCTGTGAGGGGAATGGAAGTCAGTGATGGAAGACAGACACTTTCCCTAACTCCTTGAGGAGCAAGTATGAACCTAAGGGACTCTGAGAAGGAAGAAGGGAATCTCCCTATCCAGAGATAACAGAACCAGGGGAAAAGAGCTTAGAAAATAGCAAAAGGGATGGAAGATCCACTCTAGGAGGGACTCCCTAGCCTTAGGTGCCTAAACAGAAGGATTGGGAGTTTGAGGCCAGCATCATCAACTTAGAGCCTGTCTCAAAAAAAAAAAAAAAAAAGTGATGGAGGAGGACCCTGATTTGGCTTGGAGACAGGGGCTGTAGGCCCGGTGGAGGGTTTGTCCCTTTGAGAAGTGGGGCCTGAGGGCAGAGAGACTTCTATCTGCTTTCTGAGGTTTTATGCCCCACTGGATAGCTGGGGTTGGTGCTAGGAAGAAAGTTGAGGTGGGAGGCAGGAGCAGGAGTGAGCCTGGCACAGGGCTTGAGAAGGCTGCAGCCTGCCATGGGCCAGGGGACAAAGGCAGACTCCCAGGACCAGAGCCAGGTTTTTCCTCAGCTGATTCACTGTGTGAGAAGTCACTGCCTTGGTGTCAGCTGACATGATAGAGCAGGACACAGAGCCAAGCCCAGGCCCTCCCAGGACAAGTACCTCCCTGTGGCCCCCCTCATCCTATTCTACACTGACCTGGGAACTTGCCATTCTGCACTAGGGGAGTGGGCTGGGATTCCTGGCTCCAGCCACCCCCTTTATCTGAAGGAACTCCTGGAGTGGGAGGCCTGGGGAGGAGCAGTGGAATGACTCCCCCACTACAAGGACCTAGTAGGGGGAAGGGAAGAGAGAGGGGAGTGAGCTCAAGGCATCTGTGCCATAGGCTGCCCAGGAGGCTCAGGCCAGACCAAGTCATTAATCTGCAGTGGCCGCTAGGCGGACACAGCATCCAAGGGGAGACCTCTGCCAGGCTGGGGAAAGCCTAGTTCCAAGGGTCACACAGGCCAAGAGCTCCTGCGGTCTGCCCACCCTACCTGTCATCCCCCAAGGGCCCATTCAGTGGCCTCACCTGGCTGGGTTGACAGCCCATTTCCATTGCCATATCCTGGAGAAGAAAATTAGGAAATGAGGGTCAGGATGGGGGTGGGGTCTGGAGCAAGGGCAGGAGAGGCGCAGGACAGGACGGAGATGGGTAGTTTCCTCACTCCCCTGGCTTCCAAGCTTTCATGCCCACACCCAGGGCTGGGAAGCCAGAGGCCTGTTCAGACCAACAGCCCCTCCCTAGAAGTGAACCCTCTGCCTCTCTCTCCCCTGCTGAGGCTCCCTGCACTCACCTGGTGGGAGCTCCTGGCCATTCCCTGGTGTGTACCCTGGGAGGAGAACAGGCCATGAGGGGAGGGGCTGATATAGGAGAGTCAGGAAGAGGAACAGAAATGGACTTACCTGATTCGAATGGCAGATAGGCAGATCTTGTCCCTCCCCAGGACTACCTTGTCCCTCCTTCCCTTCTCTTTACCCTCTCACCTGACTGGACCCCTTTCCCCAGGAAGCCTCCTGCGCCCAGCCCATTCCTGTACCCTGTGGAGTCAGGTGGGCTGGGGAGGGCTAGGGCCTTAAGGGCAGTGGGCAGTTTCTAAAGGTAGAGAGAAAGGGCTTACCTGGCTTCTGGGGCTGCGTGCCTTCCCCAATACCTAGAGAAGAGATGGAGAGGAGGTGAGGGACCCAGGATGCCCCCACTATGGGCCTCTCCTCCATATCCCTGGAACCTTCTCGTGCCCAACCATGCCCACCTGGCCCAGAGTTATGGGAACCGCAGAGCCTGGGAAGAGGGAGAAAGACTAAGGTGCTAAATGGCCCTCAGACAGGGCCTGGGACCCACCTCCCTTCTCCTGGCCACGCCCCCAGCCTCTCCCAGCCTCTCAGTACCTGCTCCATAGACACTCTGAGCTGGGGGACCTGTGAGAGGGAGGGATAACCAGCTAAGTTGGGGCAGGAATAGCTTATGGTTCCCCCATTCAGGGTCAGTACGCAAACCAGAATCCTGGAGAAACCCCTGGACATCCCTTGGGAGGACTGGAAGGGGACAGTAACAGGGCACCCCAGACAGAAACCCCCTCACTGGTCAGTTGGGCCCCCAGCCCATTCCCATTCCTGTATCCGAGGGCAGAGTTGGAGGTAGGTGTGAAAGAGGGAAAAAAGGTTTGGGGGAGGCAGAGAGACTGGCTAGAACAGAGCTCACCTGATTTCTGGGGCTTTGCACCCCCTCCATAGCCTGGAGGAGAGACAGGTACCAGGTGAGGACCCTAGATGAGGTTCCCGTCTCGGGCCTCCCCACAGCCTTAGCTCCACCCCTACCTGGTCCATGGCCATTTGGAGCTGCAGGGCCTGTGGAGAAGAGGGAAATGCAACAGCTGGGCCTGGGTGATGAGGCCAGGACTAGGGTCACTTGGTGTCTCCCTAATTCCCCTCCCAGTGACCCTTGCTTCCCCCACAAATTTTCTTCCACTCATGAAGCAGGAGTGAGGGTACAGACCCAGCTTAGTTTGTTTATTGCCAAGGGCAATGGGGACAGAGAGAAAAGGGACAAGGCTGCTCTCCCACCTGGCTTCTAAGGTTTCACCCCCACTCTGAGAAGTAGGGAAGGAGAGAGATGCTAACATGTGTCTAGTCAGCTCTTCTCAAGCCCCTAACCGGCCCCTGTCTCTGTCCCCAGCTCTTCTCTCTTCCTGCCCCACCTCCCAACACCACCTCAGGGCCAAGGCCCAGCAGTCCTTACCTAGGCCAGCTCCCATTCCGTTTCTATTGCTATAACCTGGGGGAGAAACAGGAACAGGTTTGGGGTTGGTGTGGGGGATTCAGAAGGCAGTCACAGAGACAGGTAGGGGCTAATTGAGGGCACCTTGATCTGGCTCTGAGACTTCAGGCCCCCCAGGCCTCTGTCATCCCCTCACACCCATGGCCCTGGTGATCCCTTACTTTCTGCCCTTCCTGTGGAGACATGGAGGCTGAGCTCAGGGCCAGACCCCCAACTGCTACATCCCAAGCAGGCTCTGCCCTCCTGGTCCCTGCCCTCACCCTCTAAGGGGCTCTGTCCAGGTCTTTTCACCTGACTGGGCTCTTTTTGCAAGGAAGGCCCCGGTTGCCAGCCCATTCCCATGCCCTAGAGAGAGAGAGGGAGCCGTGGTGGGGCACTTATGGCGTTGGGGGTGCATGGACAGAGATGACCCAGCAAGACTCACCTGGCTTCTGGGGCTTCATGACCCCTCCAAAGCCTGGTGGAGACATAGTTGCAGGTGAGCGTCCTAGGGTCCCATATCAGTTTCCCCATTCCCTACTCATCCCTGTCCCTACCTGTTGCGAATCTGTTCTGGGCTGTCAGGCCTGTGCAGAGAGGAAGGGGGAACTTGGGGTCAGGTTGAGGTGAAGGTCCCCCTCTTGGCTAAAGCTAGAGCCTTGGAGTTCTTGAGCCTTCCTCCTAGACCTCTAAATTTCTCACTGACTGCCCTCCTGAGGTCCAGGATGGGAGCAGCAGGCTGCCAGACCTCACCACTCACCTGGCTGGGCTCCAGCCCATCACCATTACCCCTGGGAGGGGCAGGTGGGGGTGGAAGGACAGGGGGAAGAGAGCTCTGAACTTTGGCAGAAACATAAGCAGGAGTGAGCTCACCAGCCATCTGAGGTTTCACACCTTCTCCAGAGTCAAGGGAAGGGGGAAGGTGAGGCACCCAGGAGAGACCATCTCAGAGCCACCCCAGAACCCTAGCATCCTGGTTCCAGCTTCTCCCAGCCCCTTGGTACCTGTTCTGTAGCCATTCTGAGCTAGGGGCCCTGTGGACATAGGAGGGATAAGCAGGGGGCAAAGGACCTATGGTGCCCTCTTCAGAGTCAGACCAGAAACCACGGATTCTGGAGACCACCAACCCTGCACCTCTGAGGCCTGGGGGGCAGAGGCTGTGGACCTGCAGGCCCCACCCCCAGACCCCACCCAGTACCTGGCTGGGCTGCCAGCCTGTGCCTGTTCCTGAATCCTGGGCCACAGAGGGAGGATTGTGTGAATGAGGGGAGGGCAGTCAAGGTATGGGGCAGGCAGAGAGACTGGCTAGTGCAGGGCTCACCTGACTTCTGGGCCTTCATGCCTCCTCCATATCCTGGAGGGGAGACAGGAAGCAGGTGAGGGCCCCGGCGGTCCCCATCTCTGGCCTCCCTAGAACCCTGGCACTGCTCCTACCTGGTCCGTAACCATTTTGAGCTACAGGTCCTGGTGGAAGGAGAGAAACGGGCTCTGAGGATCTCAGCCTGTCTCTGAAGTCCTACCCAATGCCTGGCCCCTCCAGCTCTACTCCAGCTGTCACTCCTGACCTTCCCCAACACTCATCAGGCCAGCTGTGGTCCAGGGTAGTGTGAGAAGGTTGGGGAGACACGTGGCTTATAGGGTCCCCACACCCTTCTTGCTTTTGCTACCCTTTTCTCACACATCCCTGGTGGCCTCCAAGTGGCTAAATCCAATGTGCCCTTGACGCTCCCCACCATTATCCTTCCTGGACCTCTGCCACTCCTCACTCTCTGGTCTTCTCTCCTGCTTCTTAGGCCCTTTCTAGGTCCCTTATTCTGCTCATTCCCTGGAAAGTGATGGTCCCCAGCCTTCTGTGGTGGGCCCTTGACAGCCCCTCTGGAATCCTAGATGACATATCCAACTTCCTGGTTCGTTGAGTGTCACTACCACCCATTGACCAGCCAGAAAAGTGGCCTCCCCTCATTATGACTAGCTCCTGCCACATGCACCTGAGCTAGTTCTAGAGCCTGTATCCTTTTTCTATGGGCCTCTCTTCAGTGCCCCAGTCAAGCCCTCACCAATTTTTCAATGTGCCTTGGCCACCTCCCTCCAACTTGGCTGAGGTTCCCCCTTTCCCAAATTCTGGGGACAGAGTTCCCAGGCAGCCCTCATGGGCACCCTTGGCCTGTACTGTATTCCACATTGTCATTCTGTCTGCCTCCCCAGTGGGCTCCGGGTTCTGAGAGAACCAGCTCCAGCCCTGGCTGGCACAGAACAAGTGTGGTCCATGGGTTGGTTTGTTGAATGAATGTTTGTTGCATGAGAAGAAGCTGGGTGGTGAGAGGTTGGGCCTTGCCTGGCTTCTGGCGTATTAACCCTCCCACAGGTCCGGGGAAAAGGAGACTGTCATGCCTCTGCATCAGCACCCCTACTACGGAAACCCCATGCTCCCACAACCACAGTGCCTCACCTGGCTGGGCTCCAGCTCCTGGGAAGGCCACAGCTCCCAGTCCATTCCTGACCCCCAATTCTGGGGACACAGAGCAAAGGAGCATAAAGGGACCTTGAGGAGTGCAGTGCAGGTAGATAAAGTAAGACAGAGACAGGCCCAGTGATGGCCTTACCTGGCTTCTGGAGTTTTCCACCCCATCCAAAGCCTGGGGGAGAGATGAGCAGGTGAGGGGTTTTTGTGTCTGGTACTCCTGCCAGAAACCCAGGCTTGGGCTCCCCTCCACCATCCCATCCCTTAGTTACCTGCTCCAAAGCCACTCAGAACTGCAGAACCTACAAAGAAGGGTAGACACAGGAAATCAGAGTGGCACCAAGGTGGGAATATGGCTAGGACTGGCCAGCCTCTGGCTTCCTCTGCCCTGCCCCGTGGACCTGCCTGTCACTCTGGATTTTCTCCCAATCCTGACCATGGTCTGCAATTGAATATTTGGTTTTTGGCCTGTGGGCTGGGCCCAGTGGGTCCAGACATGGACAGGTGTGAGAAGGTGGGGGAGACACATGGCTTGTAGGCTCCCCAGGCCCTTCTTGCTTTTGCTACCAGTCTAACCCTTTTCTTACACATCCCTGGTGGCCTCCAAGTGGCCAAATCCAATGTGCATGCCATCCACAGGCCTCAGCCAACTTGGTCAGGGATGTGCTCTGGAGATTGATGGGGTGAATCTCTAGAAGCCTAGCTGGGAGGGCCCCGCCTCTCCCTCCTGCTCTTACCTGGCTGGGCCCCCAGGGCATTTCCATTGGCAAATCCTGGAAGGAAAGTGGTATGTAAGGAGAGGATTAGGGAGGACAAGGAGGAGGCAGGGAGAGCAGGTCTCTGCTCACCTGATTTCTGAGACTTCATGCCTCCTCCCAGACCTAGGGGAAGATGCAGAGGGGCTGAGCCATGTTGGTTGGTTGGCAGATCCCACCAACCCACTATTCTCCCCCCCCGGAAATCAAGTTTCTAACCTCTCAGGTCCTGACTTCCCCTAGGTCCGCCTCTTCCCTCCTCCCTTACTGACTGGACTCCAAGCCCATCCCCGTTGCCAAACCCTGGGAGATGGAGCAGGAAAGAGGCAGGGGAGGCCTGGCCAAGTACATGAGGGGCAACAGACAGCTACATTGGGACAGAGCAGGGAGCACCTGACTTTTGAGGTTTCACACCTGCGTCAATGCTTAGGAGAGGGAGTCCTGAGGTAAGGGAGCCCTGAGCCCTGAGCCCAGACCCCCTTTCACCCCACCCTCCCCTACCAAGTGCATGGCTGTTCTGAGGCAGGGTCTGTGAGGAGAGAGAGACAGAGGCTGGAGACAGAGGCTGGAGCCAGGCCAGTGTGGGCCAGGCCATGGTGGTTTAGATAGTTCTTGTGGTGTCCCTGTCTCAGGCCTTTGTGTGCCATGTCCCCAGCAGCTCTTGCCTCTGGGAGCATGACTACCAGGCAGCTTGGAAACCCCTCCCTAGTCCCAAGACCACATCCCAAACTCTGGAAGGGCATCAGCAGGCCAATGAAGGGACCTGTAACACAGTGGCAGAGATGGGGGCACAGAGACAATACAGCAAAGGCAGGGCCCTCTGCTCCCCTGCCTTCTGAGGTCTTGCACACCCTCCCAGGCTGGGAGAGACAGAAAGAGTTTGACATTGATATTGACCCCAACTGCCCCTCCCCCAAAAATAAAAATGGAGAATTTCTTTCTTTTTTCTTTTTCTTTTCTTTTCTGAAGAAATTCTGAATACCCAGTATTCAGTGGTAAGATGCTCTACCACTGAGCCACATCTCTGGACCTTTTAAATTTTTTATTTTGAGACAGGACCTTGCACAATTGCTGAGGTTATTTGTAATTTGCAATCCTCCTGCCTCAGCCTTCTGAGTCACTAGGATTAGGCCTGTGCCACCACACCAGGTGAGGGTGGGACCTGCACCCTCCTCCCCTGTGCCTTCCTGAGCCCTGCCTCAGCTACCCTCATCTGGCAGGGTTTCCACTCCTGGAAAAGCACGAGCGTCCTCAAAGCTTGGAGAGAAAGTGAGGACTGTAAGGCTTGGGGTATGCTGACAAGCGGGGCACAGACAGAAATGAGCAAGACATGGGCAAGGCAGGGCTCCCCTGCACCTGGCTTTGCAGGTTTCCCAACTGCTCCCAGGCTTGGGATAAATGGAGAGGCTGAGCCCCTGCCCTCCCTCCACCACCCAACTCTCTCCCCTCCGGGTCCCAGATGTCCTTACCAGGCAGGGCTCCCACCCCTGGGAAGGCTCCAGCTGCCATCCTAGTTCCATATCCTGGGAGGCAGAGCCAGAAGGAAGAATAAGGAAGGGACTAGAGCTTCAAAGGGAGGGAGACAAAGGTGGCAAGAGCTTGAGAGAGGACAGGCATGGAGCAGGCTCTTACCTGGCTTCTGGGGCTTCCTACCCGCTCCAAAGCCTGGGGAGAGAAATGAGAGATGAAGGGAGGCCAGAGACCCAGCCTCCTTCCCAGAGTCCCTGTTCCATAGCCATTCTAAGCTGAGAGCCTGGGGGAAGTGGGGATATCTGGGTCCCTGCGGAGGACTTTGTTTTCCCCTCCCCACTGGACATCAGAAACCCTGAGTCCCCTCTTGCCCACTTTCTCTGAACCACCAGTTTTTCCTTCCTTGAGGCCTGGGACCAGCCACACCCCGAGAACCACCTCACCTGGCTGGGCTGCAGCACCTGGAATGGGTCCTGCTCCCAGCCTATATCTGTTTCCATACCCTAGGGAGACAGGGCAAGGGGGAGTCAGGAAGAATGTGGGAGGCTCACAGAGGTGTGGAGGGACAGGCAGTGTCTGAGGCAGACTCACCTGGCCTCTGAGGTTTCACACTCCCTCCAGTGCCTGAGAGGGATGAGGATCAGCTGATGGTCTCAGAAGCCCCCCTCCCAGGAGCGTCCCTTGAGTTCTGGCTCCAGGCTGCCCCCGTCCCTCCTCTACCTGCTCCATAGCCATTCTGAGCTGGAGGGCCTGTGAGAAGGGGACGTGAGCTGGAGATGTGCGGGGCCCCAGCTGAGGCTGGACCAAGCCAGAAACCAGCACACCTGAAAGGCTCCCTGTACCCACAACCATTCAGTGCTGTCCCTCTCTTCTGAGGACACCCTGGGGGTGACCCCTGGACTCCCCACTCTCACCTGGCTGGGATCTTCGCTGGTTCCCCTTCCCAAATCCTGAGGAGACAGATTAAGGTGGGGCATGAGAGAAAGATGGGGAAAAAGAGGGCTGAGCCAGGGCAGGGCTCAACTGCATCCTCACATTTAGCACCCCCTCTTTTATTTATTTTTGAGACCAGGGATTGGATCCAGGGGCATTTTACCATAGAGCCACATACCCAGCCCCCCCCCCTTTTTTTATGAGATAAGGTCTCACTAAGTTGCTTAGGGCCTCACTAAATTGCTGAGGCTGGCCTTGAACTTGTGATCCTTAGTCTCCCATACTGCTGGGATTATCGGCTAGCGCCCCCTCCGAAGCCTGGGGGAGAAACCTAGGAGCCCCTGAGTCAGGGGCTTCCCAGAACCCCACCTCTGGGCCCATAGCCATTCTGAGCAACAGGCCTTGGGGACTCCGCTCAGATCAGAGAAAGGTAGAGAGTCACTTGCCAGAGGCCTCTAAGCAAACCCTCCCTCCTTCCTTCCTTCCTTCTTCTCAGCTTGGGGACAAGAGGAGGTCAGTTCTGTTCCCTTAGGTTTCTAAGATGATTGCCTGCCCGTCTCCTCTTTCCCAGCTGGGAGGGAGGAAGCATCCTGCCCCTGCTCCTCAGACTCCCCATCTCTTGACCTGGTCCTCACCTGCTCCTAGCCCACCGGAGGTGCCGAAGCCTGTGAGGGAAATGAGAGGTTGAATCCAGCCTGGCAGGAGAGGCAGGAACTGGGGTGCAGTGCACCCTCCTGGAAGACAGGGAGTAGCCTGCCCTGCCCACCCCTCAGTCTGTGTTACCTTGTCGGTAGCCATTTGGGCTCCCAAAGCCTGTGGGATCAGGGAGAAAGTGGGTAACTTAGGAAGGGGCAAAGAGGGACAAATGTGCACGCCACCCTCCCTCTCTGGGGCTCAGTCGCCTGCTGGTCACAGGAGGGGTAAGGACAGAGAGCCAGGTAGGCAGTCTGATGGCAGATGAGCTGAAGCTGGGGTCCCTGGAAATGGAGGAAGGTGTTTAAGCCGTATCTCTGAGGGGCTGGGGACAGCCCATTTTGCCCTTTTCCTCATCAGTTTGTATACTTCTCCCCTCCAATCTTAGTTTTGAGGGTCTCATTCCTTTTCTTTCTTTTTTTTTTTTTTTTGCGGGGGGAGGGGGGTACTGTGGATTGAATCCAGAAGTACTTTGCCATTGAGCCCCAGCCCCAGCACTTTTTATTTTTTATTTTGGGACAGGATTTCACTAAGTTGTTTAGGGCCTCAGTTGATGAGGCTGACCTTGAATTTAAAACCCTCCCACATAAGCCTCCTGAGTAGCTGGGAGTACAGGCATGCGCCACCGTGCATTACAATTCTTTGGAGGGTCTCTCCTCCATTCCTGGAACTCTCACCACCCGCTCCTGACCCAAGCCCCTCCACCTCTCCCTTGGCACCTTGAATGCACCATGTCTCATGGAGCACCCCCATCCACCCTTAGCACCCCAGAAGTGAAGACCTGTCCATGACACTAAGCCCCACTCCCCCATCCCCTGAGCTTCTGAAACTTACCTAGTCCCTCTCCTCCTGTCCCACTTGCCTCTTCTTGCTATCAGGGACATGCCACCCCTCTCCTGTCACAGCCTGCCCTCAAGACCAGCTTCAAATAACTTTGCCATGTTCTTAGAGGAAAAAAAAAATCCCAACTCTTCAGAGCCCACGGTGTCTGTATTCTCTACCCTTGAGCTGACCATTGATAGTACTGCTGCCAGGAAGACAGGGAGGGACCCCATGCTTTCCTGGGCCCCACATCTGGAGTCCCAGAGCTGGGTAGCACCTGGGGCCATCCCCAGAGACCTCCCAGACCCCATGGAATGGGAGAGATGGGCCCTATCCCCCGACTAAGAGTGGCTTCTTAGCTTTCTGTGGGCCAGGAGGGAGTAGGAGCAGCCCTAGGGGAGGAGGGGGCTGCTGCTCAGGGCTGGCCCCTGGCCGAGGGGAAGCAAGACCAAGGCTTCGGTCCCTTAGTCCTTGAATCTCCCATCCAAACTCCCTGTCACCCAGGCTTCTCCCACTCTGACCCTTGCTGGCTCTGGAACCCCAGCATCTAGCCCATGCCCTACTTGACCTGACCCCCAGCCCCAATTGCAGCTGCCCATACCCTCCCCTCCCCTCCCAGCCACCTAGCCCTCACCGCCTTGTAGGCTCTCAGAAGTCAGGCAGAGAAGGAAAAGGGCGGCGAGGAAGGCCCAGGTGCCCATGATGCCAGGGAGTGAGAAGGCTTGGCACCCTTTGGGGCTTTAAACACCCTTGTTGTGAGAGGCAGAGACTCTGAAGACTCCAGGAGGCCAGCCCCCCTGCTTCTCCCCCTCAGCAAGCATCTAGCCCGCTGGCCCTCCTCCAGACCCTACCCCTCATCCATCATGGGTGCTGACAGGAGAGGCCTCCCACCTGGCCCCCCAGGCTCCTCCACCCTATCAGTGACTTGGGTCCTGGCGCCAGGCCTGGAGGGCTCAGATGTCTCCCCCACCTGCCCCACATTGGCAGCTGGTGAGGGCCAGGGTGACACCCTAGGCCCAGCCCAAACACAGCTGGGGACAGGGTGGGAGCCAGAACCAGAAGTGTGGGGTGGGCATGTCTGTCAGGGAGTTACTGTGTTACCCAGAGAAAGGGGCAGTGACAGAGTATTTCAAACTCTGCAGGGAGGCAACAGTGTATCAGATGCCCAGCTAAGGGCAGCCATGTCCACAAGAGTCCAGCTGCTCTCTGGTCTGATCCTGAGACTACATGGACCGCCTCAGGAGACCAGGACACACAGACACCGGTTACCCCACGCTCAGCTTGTCTGAGTCCTGCTGTTTCCTTCCTTGCCTTCCTTCTCTTTCTTTCTTTCTTTTTCACTCTGGGTACTCTACCACTGAGTTGCAGACTCAGTCCTTTTAAATTTTTTCCCCACTAAAATTTTCCAATCCTCCTGCTTCAGCTTTCTCAGTGGCTAGGATTGCAGGTGCGTACCACCATGCTGGGCGAATCCTGTTGTTTCTGGACCTCAGGCCCAGGCCCATCCCTAGGTGGGCCTCCCTCCTGTCTTACCTCAGCTGTCAGCAATGACTTTAACCTTGGGGAACAAACTCAGGGTCTACTACTTAGAATGCATAGCACTGGCTGCAGAGAGTGCCTGGGGACTGGCTGCAGCCCTCATTATTGGAGGAGGTTGGAAAGAGGAGCCTAGAGCCAGGCTGACATAGAGAGCCTGGCAGAGAGAGAAGTACGGAGTACACAGCGGAGGCAAACCCTGGAAGAGCTGGGGTGGAGGTGCCCCCAAGGAGTCTGTGGACCCCACTGAGCTGGCAGGGGATGGCATTGCTCAGCCCCCAGCCTGTAGACCAAGTCCAGAGGCCCCACACCCTGTCTGCTCAGCCCATCCCCGGGCCAGCCTGCCACACCTGGCACACTGGCTGAGGAGGCACATACATGTGCCCAACCTGGCAGCCAGGCAGGAGGATGTCTGGAGAATGGCTAAAGTGAGGAAAGGCCTTGGGGGGAGGCCTGAAGCACGAGACTCCTGAGTCTGCCTCCTCTACAGGGTTTATTCTGCTGCCGGTAGATGGCAGAGCTAGTGCCAGGCACCCCTCACCTACAGACCAGCCCCAGCACTGAGCTGGTCCTTCACCTCCTCTCTGCCCCTCACTCTGAGCTGTACCCGACTGTGGCTCTGTCCCTGACCAGGAGGCTCCCACCCAGGGCTGACACCCATGGGAGTTCTTGTGGCCATGCTTGTGCCCCTCACAGACCCACCTTTAAAAAAATTTTTTTTATAGTTGAGGATGGACAGAATGCCTTTATTTTATTTGTTAATTTTTTATGTGGTGCTGAGGATCGAACCCAGTGCCTCATGCGAATCCCAGTGCCTCACACCTGCTAGGCAAGCGCTCTGCCACTGAGCTATAGGCCCAGCCCACATACCCACCTTTGTACCAGGCCCCCTGCTCACTGTGGGCTCAACCTCAGCCATAGCCTCAGCACAGTACCCCACATGCCCTCCTCCTGTCCTGCTTGCTGTCCAAGAGGCTGAACCTTCCATAGTTATGGGGAGGGATCACTGCATAAGAGCCCAGGGCAGTTGGAATGATGTACTAGAACTCCCTGGGGAGACTTTCCTGCTAGGCCACTGCGCTGTGGCTACAGGCACTGGTTCCCTAGTCTCCCCATGAAAGGCAACTGAATGGCCTGGTGGTTAGCAGAAGCTGGGCCCTGGGTTCAGGTGGTGTTCAAATACCCACGAGATCTGTTCAGGGACCTTGGGTAGGAATCTGGCATTTCTGAAGCTGTCACTCTCCTCTGATATGCACCAGGGATGGGGGCTATTAAGATCAATCCTCGTTTTACACATGGGGAAACAGGTAGAGAGGGGACAACGGTATCTGGCTCAGATGGCACAACTCCTAAGTGATGGGGCTGGAGTCTGAACCTGGGCAGTCCAAGGGCCCCCAGGTCCAGCTCCCCTGCTCTCTGTCATTCCACACTCTTTTTTTTTTTAATAAAAAAAAACACATTTATTTTATAGAAGTAGTTGGACATAATACCTTTATTTTATTTATTTATTTTTATGTGGTGCTGAGGATCGAACCCAGGGCCTTGCACTTGCCACACTTGCTGAGCCACAATCCCAGCACCTCATTCCGCACTCTTCTGGGCAGGCTACAGGTCCAGGGTGCCAGTCTGCTTCAAACTTGGGAAAGCCAAGGACCCCCTGTGCAGACCCAGACACCCAGACATGTAGACACCCAGGGCTCCCGCAGGGTGGCAGGGAATCTTGGCCCAGGGGGAGGCAGGCAGTAAAACTGGTAGGGGCCATGCAGGAGGTGCAGACTGAGTTCCTTCTTGGCCACTGCCAGGCTGCCTGGGTGCTGGCATGGGCCTGTGGAAAATGCCTCATGGCTCCATAGGCCAGCCTAAGGGCTGCCCAGGACCGGCAATACCACAATTCCTGCCCCCGCCCCCCTGCAGTCAATGCCCTGGCTCACTCCCAGCTCTACCCTGGCAGAGCTAGCTTGAGAACACAAGGACTAGAGGGCCAGGGAATCCCTGAATGAGCCCTGGCCTGGGTGACCCAGTACCCTGGCCTAAGGGGGACAGAGTCCAGCCTCTGAACAGAGGAGGAATGTTGAGGGGCTAGGGTGGGAGCCAAGGGCAAAGAGACAGCTGGGCTGCAGGAAGTGCGGGATCAAGGTTCTGGAAGTGCATTCCCTAAAATGGCACAGCCAGTGTTAAGGGACTCCCAATCAGCTGCTTGACCTCAGCAGCACCTGTGAGGATGTGAATCTGGGAGGACAGCTGGGGATGGGGGCAGCCAGGCGCCTGTGGGCAGACACTTCTGCGCCCACAGCTGTGTTGTTGGCCCCTTGGATCACCAGCTTCTCTGCTCTGGGTAGCTCTTTAGCCCAAATCTGAGCTTCAGCTTCCGTTGCTTCTAGGATGCCCTCGGAGCAGTCCCCAGGCACTCACACTGTGCAAAGCTGACCCCCATTAACCCCTTCTCCCCACCCACCTGCCTTACGCAGAGGGTAAAATTTTATGCAAGTGTAAAACACGGCATTCATAGAGAAGAGCACAGAAGATGTAAATGCACAATATGGCGAACACCATGCAACCACAAAGTGGCAGTTCCCCAGAAGCGCCATCACAGCCATCTCTTCCTCGTTAAGTTCTCCACGTTTCCATTTGAGGTCGTCATTTCCTCACCTTTCTAGCGTCCCAGTAAGAGTGAGCTCGCCTTTCTGGGAGAGTCTGGGCGGGGCCCGCTTCTGGGTGTTGTTGCGGCTGCCGGACGCACGGGGGCGAGCGCGGCACTCTCCTGGAAGTGCGAACGCGACCCCGGGAATCCAGTATGAATTTTTCCTCCGCGACAGAGGCCCCTCCCAGCGCTTTGGCTCAGAGCTCGGTGGGTTGTTATGTCTCTGTGAGCCCTGGCTGAGTGGGGAGTATTGGCCCTTTTCCTCCAGAGGCTTCCTTTTGTCCCAGAGAGCTGCCTTGAAGCCTTGAAAAATGCCAAACACCACACAGGAGCAAGCCCCCCC